GGGGGGAGAACAAGGGAATCTGTGGCTGATATGTAGAACTGAATTGTATTAAAAAATAAAATAAAATAAAAAAGAAATGTTCTTTTCAATGTATTAGAAAAAGTTCAGATCTGAAGAGAAGAGTCTCCTGCAGGGTGATTTTTGCCATAGACTTTCATATGGAGTCATAGACAAGTTACAGGTACAGTGATTTAGAGCTGTAATTGTTCTTACAATCACAGGAAGTCTTGATCAGTTAGCAGAACAGGACATGTTTATCTTTGTGCATAGCTAATTTCAGACTTCAAATAGTTCTAAAATCAGTAAGCCAATCTCTAGGCAAATAAGAATTTGAAAGGTATGCATTTGGTCTTTGACAGATATTAAAGAAAGTCCTGTGCAAATCTTAGGAGTTAATAAAGTGGATCTTGTTTGTGTCCTTGGGGGAAACACATTTCCCTAGGGCAAAGTTCCCCTAATGCAGTGTTTCTTAACCTATGAAATGTGACCCCTTCAGGACTGAATGACCTTTTTACAGGGGTCAAATATCAGATATCATGCATATAAGATATTTACATTATGAATCATAACAGTAGCAAATTACAGTTATGAAGAGGCAACAAAAATAATTTTATGGTTGTTTGATCACTATAACATGAGGAACTATATTAAAGGATTGTAGCATCAGGAAGGTTGAGAACTACTGCCCTAGTATGTAAGGGGGGTGGTTCAGACAGCAAAGGATTAAGGTTGGGTTTCCTAACAGTCACCAGGAAAATACAGCTCAGATAAAGCAGAGTATTGACAATATTTAATATGTGAGTCCTATATCTTTCCCACAAATAAATTTAAAGTTGCCAAATTATTTTGTCCCTCTTTCTCAGGTACTTATTTTCACAAAATGGTCACAATTACAATTCTTGGGATACAAAGAAAAGTTGATAGAAATTACTTCGTTGGAAACAAATCTAGTTTTAGCTGAGCTTTGAAAGAACAGAGAGCTATCTTCTTTATGCTCATAGCAAAAGGAAACAGTACTTTAGAATGTTATATTTTCTTTTTATTAAGTTGATGGAACTAACTTAATAATATTATATAATTATAAGATTTAAATATACTAATCATCTGTAGAATACACTCTCACAAAATAAAGAGTTTGTTAAGGAAATAGAGCAATAGCCCACTTAGAGAATGATTTTACAGTACTTTGAATTGATCTGCTTGTATGATGTTGGTTAACTATGAATCAAATGCTGCAGCATGTTATTGTTTTAATATTAGTCTTGGGAAATGTGACAAGAAGGGAGAAATTATACACAGATTTATGTTCTGTTCAACTGTGCACACTCTCATCCTGAGCTGATGAACATCTTTATATTTTTAGGTAAATTTCAAATAAAAACTGCACTTGAGTCTCTTCCTCAGTAACTGCTTGTCCATAGCCCTGGGCTGCTTGCCAGGCAATAATGTGATTGCTTTACGGTCAGTGGGAAGTAATTCAGTGGTGCTTTTCCATTTGTAATGCTTCTCAATAAGAAATGAGGTTGTGAGCGGCAGATAACGCAGGACAGGAACAGGAAAGGACACCCCAGCCACTTCAGGTCACTTCTTTTAAACTTGTACTTTGAAACAGTTTTAGATTCAAATTAAAGTTGTTAGAATAGTGCAGAGTTCCTGTCTCTCACCCAGGTTCCTTTAATGCTAAAATCTTACAAAAATGACACTTCCGTAGCCCAGGCCAGGAAACTGGCATTGATATGGTATTATCAACAAAAACACAGACTTCATCCATAATTCAACATTTTAGATCCACTTAGCTTTCTTGGAGTTGGTGGTTTTTCATTGTGAAGATTGTCACTTGAGTAGATTGTTAAGTGTCATGTCACCTACCAGGATCTCCAGAGGAACTGTTCTTGTTCCACTCACATCACCACGGTCACCACTCCTAACCTAAACTCCAAACCACCAACTTCTCCCTGATTGCTGAAATCATTTTCACTTTAGTAGTCTATGTGAATGAAATTATGAATTATTTGGAGATCATAACATTTGGAGATTTTAAAGTTTTGACTTTGAGATCATTGAAGACTCACAAGAAGTAAGAATATTTTATTCTACCTGAATATGTTCCGTCTCTTTCTCCACCTGTACCTTACCTAACCATGGCACAGACACAGTATTTCCAACTGAACCATAGCCCTCATGCAGACTGTACATTTTTACACATGCCATTGCAAATGTGTAGTTTTATGAAGTGCTACCACAGATGCTACCACTACCACGAGGAAAACAGAAGATTTCCATCATTGCAAAGACATTCTTTCTAGCTATCCCTTCATAATCATGCTCTCCCAACAACCTAACCCATGACAATCAAGGACCCATCTTAGATCCCTGTGTTTTAGATTTTCCTAGAACTTAATACAAAACTATCATGTAGTATGCTTTCACTCTTGTCATTTTTCTCTTAATACAATATTTTGTGATCCATTTAAGCAATGCCTTATTTCAACAATTTATTTCTGAGTGCTTTTCATTGAACGTACATACATATTGATGTTCTTCATTCACTCTTTTTACTTGATGGAAGACATTTAAATTGATCTCTGTGATTCTAGATGTTCAATATTATAGATTAAAGTGCATTAAATTTTTGTGGACAAGATTTTATGTGAACCTAATATTTTTTTCTAATATGAATACCACAACTAAAGTAGCTAATCTTAATTTGGTTGAATTTAGAATCACCACAGAAACATCTCATTGGGTCCTGTAGAAATGGTTCCAGAAAGGCTTAACTGAAGATGGACAATCCACCCTGCATGCGGTGAGCATTGGACTGCTGAGCTGGTTTAAGGAAGAAAGTAGCAAACCATGAACACCTATGGTTTATATTTTCATCCTCTTATAATCTCTTAGAATCTAATTTTAAAAATTAATATTTTTAAATATTAATAACATTATATTAATCAATATTTTATATTTTATTTAAGAACTTGTCTATCTCAGAGTAGCAAACTTCCTCATGAAAATTTTACTTTTAGGTTAAATTTCTTCTATAACCTGTGGATTGAGATTGATGGCAGTGACTTGGAATAAAAGAAGGAGACAGGCATCTCCAGAGGTAGAAGTGGTCTTTAGTCAGAACAACTGAAGGGGCTCAGTCTCTCTGTGGGGTATAGACTGTGAGTGTATGGCATGGGGGTCATTGGGGTTTTATAGAATGGGAAAGGAGGAACTTTGGGGATGGAAGGTTACATTTATTGGTCAGTTTTCCTGCAGTCTGAAAATGGCAGAACACCAACAGTGTGTGAATCTCTTTATCAAATGCTTCCACAGGTGCTATTAGTGAAGTCAACTTTCTTGTCCAGACTTTCTAGTCTACCTGAGGCTTTTAGGTCATTAACCCTTCACAATCTGAGTTAATTGTTTTGTAATTTGTAAATTTAGATAGAGGCCATCTTTGGCCCATCAACATCTGAATGCCACATTTGATAAGGTAATTTGTATTAACATTTATTGTGAATGTACTACAAATTTTATTTTTGGACACCAGAAAAGTGTCCTATACATACTAACAGAAATATAAGATTAATGGATGAACAAATGGCATCCTGCACCACTCATGGGGAAAAGCTAGATTCTCCTTCAAGAAGCTTTTTAATTGCTATAACAGGAAGTATAGACACAGCAGTAAGAAAATACTCTACAAACAAAAAAGTACTCAAGTCAAAATATACATACATATATATATGTATATATATACATATATATGTATATACACACATACATGTAGCACTATATGGATTTAACAAAATATATTTAGGAATATACGTGTATATGCAAATACATAATATGCATGCAATAAAAATTGATGAAAAATGAAGACATGATTAAAGAAGAATAGGGAGCGACGTATGGGAGAGTTTGGAAGGGAAAATGTAATTAAAATATATTCTCAAAAATAAACAACAAGGGCTGGAGAGATGGCTCAGAGGTTACGAGCATTGACTGCTCTTCCAGAGGTCCTGAGTTCAATTCCCAGCAACCACATGGTGGCTCACAACCATCTGTAATGAGATCTGGCGCCCTCTTCTGCCCTGCAGTCATACATGCTGTATACATAATAAATAAATCTTAAAAAAAATAAACAACAAAACATTGAAGACTTATGAGAACATAAAATTGGTGAATAAGTAAAATTGAACTTTATTGGTGTTCCATATTTAATATAGACCCTTTCCATGTTGCTGTAATGAAACCCAGGCAAAGCCTCTTAAAGAAAGACTCACTTTAGGACAAAGTTCAAGATAAAGTCCATCATGGCAGAAAAGAAAAGGTAACCACGTCCACACACGGAAACAGAGGGGTGAACACTTCCTAGTGCTTAGCTCACTTTTTCCATTTAATACAGTCTAAGATCCCCTTACAGGGAACAGTCCTGACCACAGTTAAGATGAGGCTTCCCATATCTATTAACATAATCAAGATACTTCTCCACAGACACACCCAGATGCCTATCTCCTGCATGATTCTTCTGAAGGACTAAACTTCAGGTAACAGAAAGTCTCTCCTGTAGGAAGGGAGAAGATGATACTGTAGCATCATGGGTCAGGGGAGCTTGGTGTAATAAAAGGTCTGTAGAGAACTCTGCTTTGTACCTCATAGTGATTAAAATTTGCCCCTTGCAGTGTTACCTCTGACAGCAGCAGGGAGGATTTATTGGAGTGAGGAGAACTGTGAGTCTGGTGTTTTGTTTGCTTTCTGATTTGAATTCTATAGAATAACCGCCTAAACCTGCCTAGAGATCATGGGATGAGGAGGCAGGTTCTAGAGATGGAGAGGCAAGTAAGGAACAGTAAGGGCAAGGCGGTTTAGTGAATACTAAATCGAATACCAAAGCAAGATCCCTCTAAGAAAAGGTGCCCAGAATTGCAAATACAGAAGTAGCTAAGAAAGCAAATGCCTTTGATGAAGAAAGGAGTAATAAAAGATTAACTCTAAGAGTAAGGCTAACAGCACAAATTTCAGAAAAACACCTCACTTAGACATCTTAATACAGATATGTAGGCTTTTGCATAAATAATTTGTTAATATCATTCTGACAGTGGTTGTATAAAGGTATTTTTATAGAGAGGATAGAAAAGTGATAAGAATTTTCTAGCTGGGGGTTCCTGGCGCATGCCTTTAATCCCAGCACTCAAGGCAGAGGCGGATCACTTGAGTTCAAAGCCAGCCTGGTTTACAGAGTGAGTTCCAGGACAGTCAGGGCTACACAGAGAAACTATGTCTCAAAAAATCAATTAATAAGAATTTTCTATTATAATTGATCAAATGTGTTAATAACTGAATATAGGAAAACATGTATCTTCACATACAGTTTTATCTGTTGCTTATCTGCTGCAGGTTGTGGTTTATAAATAGGGGTCTTGATATATTTTATTTTAAAGATTGTTTATCAAAAAAAGAAGAAAAAGTGGGGCAGGTTCCATGCGGCGCGTTCCTCGGCCAGCGAGGAAGAATGACCACCATGCGAGGATTCTTCTCAGAACACACTTTATTGGAGCGCCTCTTGATTAAGGGAGAGCTGGAGGTGAGGGGCCCCGAGGACTAAACTGCAGCTGCTTATATAGGGAATCAGGCAAACGTGCCGTATTGTGATTGGGTCCCGCCAGAATGCTAGCACGGGGAGCCACGGGATAGGCTGAGGACATAAGGTCAATTACCATACTCATGCATCATAGCCAAATATGGAGTTGTTTACAGCTAGGCTCCCAGGAAGCCAGCGCCATCTTTGAATGGCGGCTCCCTACAGTTCCACATTAAAAATTGTATTTCTAAGCATAAATTACTTTCATTCTGAGTGGGCACTTACAGACTCAAGCATCCTTTTGGAAGTTACTCCTGTTTGAAACGTGAAAGAACTTTGCACATGTGAACTGCACACTCAGCATGCTGGGCGCTTTGTGACTGACGTCCATTCTCTGACCACTTCAGCACTGATGCTGCAGAATGCCATCTCAGCCTGTTGTCTTCAGATATAATGCTGACCAAAGTCATTGCAGCGGGAGCTGAGAATACTTCTAGAAGCTCGCGCTGCCTCAGAAATACTAGCAATTAAGGAACCACTTCTAGAAGTAGTTGGAAACCACATCAATATACCTACCAATAAACCCAAACTGAAATATTTCCCTCTTAGCTACCCTTTAACTGCATTCCAGACATGCTCTGTTAATCACCCTAATGCTACTATGAAGAGGATTGTGATGGGGGAGGGGAAGTTACCGTGGAAACAAATGTTTTAACTAATGGTGGCTCTTTTGAAATTTTTATGGAAACAAGACAATTTTATAAATGCTTTGGTGGGGTTCTTTTCAGGTCTTTGGAAAGTGATTGTGTGAGCAAAAGTCACAGTTTACTGTAAACCTAAGTATTTTCACCTCTGATGAAAATCAGATGGCTGGTTGATGTATCTAGCATTACTGCTGTATCATAACTTTTTTAAAAAATAGGTGACCAGTTTCCCAGATAAAAATAGAGTATCCAACTTTCAGGCATGATTGTCCTATTTTTTAGCACTACAAGTAGATCGTTCTTAAGAAAATACCCTCCAGGAATTAAGAATCTGTGCTTGAAAGGGGAAAGGAAGAGAGATGTTGTGAAATGAAAAGGTGCCCGCCCCCAAATAGGCACTAAAGTAAAAAGAAATATTTTAGTATCAAATGTGTTATCTGCCTTTCATTATTGCTGTTGTCTTTATCTTGGGTGACTTTTCTCAGCAGTTAAAATTTATAATTCCCAATCATGGATTTTACTTGTTAGGTCACTCTTATTGATAGAATTTAAGTTTCAAACTTCAGTGCTTAATAATCATAACATAAAAATTTACTTAACTTCACCTATAGATTAATTACCATGTTTTCTGTTGAAATACTACTCTAGAAACAAAACAACAACAACAAAAACCCTGAATGCGTGCAAAGGCTATCAGTCTAGAACAGGCCACAGGAAGGAAGTCAACCATAATTACTTGAATTTTGCAGACAGATATTTATATTAGAAGAAATGCAAGATTCTAATTACATCTTGTTTTGAGAATATTACTGATAGGTGTTCTGTACCCTGATAATAGGTTTCTCTACCCACAAGCAAGATCAAGCCAAATTAAAAAGTAAAAGACCAGGTTTATTTGGGCAAAGCACTCCCGGGTGACCCTCCAGCCTCCAGAGATCAAGGCAGGGAAAGGGGGCAGGAGAAAAATCACATGACTGGCCTAAAGGAGTGGGCTTAAATACCTTGTAGATGCAGGTATGGTGACCTGTCTGGTACAGGCTATAGGCTGGGTTTATGCCCAAGTATGGTAATCTTTTAGTGGGGGGGGGTTAGGGGGGTGGGAAGGTAGAGGGTAGGAGGATGGGCTGTGTGATTGGTGTGGGACTAGTAAACTTTCTTCTCATGGTCCTGAGATGGAAGCTAGGGCAACAACAAAGAAAATTGTCATTTACTGACCAAATTCTGATCCTTCTGAGCTGATTGCTACCGAAGTTTTGAGTTAGAATTTGATTGTCTTGTATGGTCTGGTCCTTGTCTATCTTTATGCTCAGTCTCTTACACTAGTTTAATTTCAACATTGCAAAAATTATTAACACATTTTTCAAGAAATCAAATGATAAAAGAACATTACAACATTGATATTTATAACCCAGACACCAGGACAACAAAGAAGACGTTCTCCTTTTAAGAAAAAAAAAAGAAATATTTTTATAACTGCCTAATGGAAAGAATAAAAACAAGTGGTTTTGCACAATACGCAGAAAAGAATTTGGTAGAGAAACAAATTATGGAGACTGAGTATCGCAAGATTATATTGAGACATGCA